GCTACGGACTGAGCCACTTCGCTGTACTACCATAAGGTAGAATCGATCGGTATATAAGCTGCGCTTAAAATTTTAGAGCCTTTTTTCTCGGAATCTTCTGGCTAGTGCGCTTTACAATTCTTCTGGGTGGACACCCTTGAGGTATACTACTAACCTGCCAAGTCTCATCCCGAACTGAATTTCCGAGACCGTAAGGTCCCCTTGTAAGTAAAAGATGAAAAAATTGCCAAGTGTCTTAATTTATTGCACTTTATTGTGTTCGAAGCAGCAACAAAGTTTAAGGCACAGTTTCAGATCATTAAAAAAAATAATAATAATAAAATAAAAGTATATATAAAGTTGTAGTTAAAGTGTTAGCGAAATTTAGTTAGATATATAAATATATTTAGATATTTAAATATATTTCTAGTAAAGATGCAATATATATTTTGATATTAATATATACACGTTTTGTTATAGATTCCTGGTTACAGCTAGAAGCTGAAGAAATAACTTTATCATTGGATATTCAAGAAATATACATGAAGGCAAAAGGAAAACTTTCTTCTTTTAATATCAGTTCATTTCAAAAAAGGTAAAATTCATTATGAAATTAGTATTAAATGTTATTTGATAAATTACCTTAAGTTAACATATATTAATACTTTAACTTCAAATATGACAGATTTTGATGTTGATAAAAATAAATTTAACAAAAGGCTTCAATCTTAATTAATAAAAAGATAATGAAAGATCAATTTTGAGGCTTGGTTCACTAAAGGCTCGTTTATATAATATGACTACTGCTGACATTTTGTTGCTCAAAACCACAATACATATGAATTTGCACTGTTTGAACAAACGTGGTAACCTTGGCTCAATAAGTTACAACAGTGTCGCAGGTTTATAAAATAAACTGAAAACACAATTTTCCAGCAAGAGGCGTTCCACAAACTTTTCTTGCTGGAAAATTGTGTATAGTGTTTATTTTACTACAGATTATCCATTACAGTTTGAATTTTTGACTTTAGCATATATGTTGATATCTGGTAGATGTCATAAGAAAAACTTTATCATTGGGTGACTTTTGTTGTTATGAGTCTATTTTTCATATTAATTAAAATACAAGGAAACTACTTTGTCTTATTGATAATTATTTTTTTTTTTGTAGTAAAGATAACACTGAATGGATACCAGGTCCGTTTCGAGGCATAGTACTCTGTTCTAATAATAAATTAACTCATAATATTCATATTGGATCGCCAAAACATGCCAACATTTCATCAACCTCCTCTTCTTCTAATCAGATGTGTGACCTTCAGAATCATGCATTTTTACTTGTAACATATACACAAGCATTGTGTAGAAATGTTAAAAAGAAACTAACGACAAAATATCAAAGTCATTCAATGGGTGAAAAACAATCTGATATTCAAAAATTGTTTACTAATCAACAGTCGGAGCGTTATGTAAGTGAAATTGACATACAGATTCATCCATTTGATATTGTCCTTTGGATGCCTTTGTTTTCAGTTATTTCACAAATTGCTTCCCCATTATTTTCTTTAATCGAGAGGCAAGTAATACCAATATCGGTAAATTCATCAAAGCCGATTGGATGGAGTACCAATAATCATCGATTACCTTTACTGTACGTTAATGCAAAAACTATAAGAATTTTCTTACCAAGGACAGTTAGTTGTGATGTCGATAACTACATTCAAACTAAAGATATAAGCGAGCCTTCTGAGGACAGAAATAACATTTCGATGTATTCGAATCCCGATTTAATATTGTTTCACATTGGTGCAATCAACATGATACCACAGGCCGATAATCCCCTATCTCGTATCATTATACATAAAGAATTATATCACGCTGCTCAACAGTCGAGAACTTTAAATATTCCTGGATCCGATATTGAAGACCGACAATATCAGTTGGATATTTTTGGATTAGCTATTACTGCAGGTAAGATAAATTGTTTTCTAAAAATAAAGTTAAAAATAATAATAATCAATTTTTTAATAAATTTAGTTCAGTGGAAGGAAATAATTTTGCACAGTAATTTGCAAAATGAACAAAATGCCTCGTCTGTATTAATAATGGGAGAAAATCCGGCTTTAGAATGGAATACCAGATTACAGTGCAAACAAGATTTAAACGAAGATATTGAAATCACTTGTATACCTATTTTATCTCAGTTTGATATCCAAGTTACTTTTGCTCCTGCAATTGTGTACGAGTTGCCACAACAAGAAGATGGAAAAGATCTAGAGGTAAATTTATCTTGTTTAAAATAAATCTAATGCACTAAATATATTAAAATGCAAATTTATATCCAATTATTTTATTTTTAAGAGTCAGTTTATAGTCTGCTGGCAGTGTGACTGTAGAGTTTAAGAAATTATGCTACTTTTACTGTCCTCAACTTTGCTAGATTTCCAACTACAGACTTCACTTTTGGTTTAATGACAACTCCAAAGTCAAGCAATATTCAATTTTGAAGTCGTACCTACTGTAGGTTTGGCCGGGTAATTGATGAATATGACTAATGAGTGCCCATGAAAAATTTCGGGAAACTTGTTTGCCTGGATTTGATCTCTGGTCTCCTAGAGTCATAGACTAACACATTAATCACTTGGCCATTTGGCCATTGTTATAGCTATAATTTTGAATTCAAATATTTTATAAAAAATAATAAAGTACAGTAGAGTTATGACTAACCAAGATTTCAAGTTACTTATTGTGAATTGTGAAAATACAGATGATATTTGATTTTGTTTCTTTTTTTTAATCATTTGTGCTATTAAAAGAATGGACAGAATTGTGAATTAATCATACTAATTTAGGTTATAAATTCAATTATAGAGAAATTTCTTGTAAAAGCAAGTTTTTCTAAATTTTATAATATCTTGTAATCTGTAGTAACCATTTATCTTTTTCATATTTTACTAACATCAATATATAGTTGTCTCTGTTTCTGCAGTTTTGTGTTTGCAAATCAATTAACTGCGATTGAAAATATGATTAAAAAAAATTCTAAAAAGTTCCAAAAATCAAAATTTGAATTTGCTTGTATTTCAAATATTCTGCAGTTTATTCTATGTTTTATTTCTCATTCAAAACAAAAACAGTCTAAGTGTCGAAAGAAAGAATTTTATGTCATTCTTACATGTGTATTTTGCTGATTTCAAGCTGACTTTTTAAAAATTTTTTCATGGTTCAAAAAATGTCCCTCAGCTTAGAATTGGTGTCATTAATATGGTTGGTAAAGTAGGTGACACCCTTTATTGACATAGTCAAAAGTTCAGAAAAATATCTCCAGAAGCCACCACAGATAAGTTTCTGCAAATTTCTTATGCATGCATGGAAAAGTATTTCTATAGAAGTTGTCACTGACCTATTTAAAAAGTGTTTGATCTCGAATGAACTTGATGGCACAGAAGATGATGCTCTGTACAAGACCACGACAAAGAATTTAGTGATGATGAATCTGAATCATCTGATGATAGTAATTGAACAATTAAATGGTATAAAATTTATTTCATATGTTTGATTAATAAATTTTCATTTCCTGGGGTTACCTTACAATCAGTGTTAGTTTGTAATCAAGTAAATATGGTACTATATAATTAAGCTTGTGATGGTTACATCTACACAGAATATGTAGTTTTTTCTTGTCATTATTCACTAAACAAAAAGTTAAACAACTATTTACATTGTCTTAGTTGTTATAAATAACATAGAGGTGATTTAAAGTATTCAGGAGATGTATATAGGTTGTTTGCAAATATTTGAGCATTCACGGATACCAAAATCTGGGCATCCTGAATCCACTCTCCCATTGGATACTGAAAGATAACTTACTTAATTTGAAAATGCTGTAGCAGTGTTTATCATCATTGAATAAATTGGATTTGTAAGAATATTACAAGTTCAATTTATGCAATGATGATAAACATTAAATTTTTAAAACATGCATTTTTAAATATTCTAATCTATATGGATAAAAGACTGTAATTGATCTTTGAAAAAAATAAGTTTGGTTACAGGTAGTGTCATTATAGTGAGGTTTAAAAGTCAGTCATAATATTTAATGTTTTTTAATAAATTAATAAAATAAATTAAAAATTAATATTGAGGAAGTATGTAAAGAAGTTTATTTTACCAATTTTAGAGTTACATGCCTCCATATTTCAGCATTTACATTTTATTAGCAAAAAATTTGAAGTTTATCCTCCATGTGAACGTGAAGATTGTATGACATGAAATATTACAGTAATGCAGGAACATAGTATAGAAAAAGTATGTCCTTAGATCTACAATAAATATGGAGGTTCCATTGTCTGTAAAGTAATTGTCATAGCTATAACAGATAGTGTTAGAATGGCCTCGACATTCAACCCAGCTGAAGTTGGTATAAAGGAAATTATTACTTGTTTTGTTTTGAGATTTAAAGTATTGTTTGGAAGATGAAGGTGTCAAAGTAGTAGCTCAATTTCTGTCAGTAATTAACTTCTGCCAAGCTGCTAACACATGAATGAATAAACAACTTTTTGTCATCATAAATACTATCCTATGATTTTTTAAAAAACACATAACATGGAAAGGAACTTACAATTAGGAAGATGATGATGATGATAGAATATTATACTCTTTTCCAAGAATTATTATGTGAAAAGCGACTAAGATTTCTTGAAGAATTATATTTGTATATTTGACTATTTTCATTCTGTGAGCACTAAGGGTTTTTTCCTTATCCATAATGGGTTTCATCTATCTCACAATAGGGTCACTGGTGAGGGACAGGGCCCAACATCCAGAAAAATTCCTCCGGATTTTTTGACCCCTCGGATTCAATTCTGGGCCTCTAGAGCAGTAGACTTAGTAATAAAAAAAAATGTAATGCTAGAATCAAGATTTAACTTATATCAAACATTTTTTTTGGGATGACACATTTGATCATCATACATAAATTTAAATGAGAATCTTGATGATGCATTCTAAAGCCTTTGGGCTGAGAAGGGTCATTCAAATACAATGTCTGTGCTGGGAAGGAGGATACATACGAATTTCATGATGTGGTGGAGGAGTGTTAATAGAATGACAATGCTCTAAAAATTCTCAAAACTTTTCCTATTTGAAATAATAATTTAGCAAAATCATTATGCTGAAATATTTTGATCAATGATCATGCACCAAGTTCTTGCTTATTTTTAGTAGAAGCACTGTAATAACTAAACATGCTCTGTTACTTGCACTCTGGTAGGACTTTTAATATGAAAGGGTAATGGCAGCAATTTAACCTTTAAAATAAATATACCAGTTAAAGATATACCAGTAACATATCTTTTGTTTAGGAGTTGTCAGACTCTTCTGTGGTAAATTGGCAACTTTCATTTGTTTTTGGTTTTTTTATTGCCTATTTTTGAAATTTGCCTTGCTTCGGCAGAAAATACAAATGAATTAACATACTGTAGATCTGTTTAATAGAAATGCATTATTTTAATATTGGGGTGGCAGATCGAGCATGACTGAGTCTGTATAGCAGGAAGACTTTATTAATTTCCTTGATAACTTTATTGAAAAAGGAGTGCAGTCATTGACCAAATAAGCAAACCACAGTCTATTATAGATTGGATATTTGTAAAGAAAACAGATCTCAAGACAGTTTTTGATGAAATAGGTTTGCAAAACTGGCCATAGAATTCCATGATGGATTGCCAGTGATTTAACTACCTTATCTACATGATTTTTGAAAGACAACCTTTTGTCAAAAATGATACCTAGGTCATTATAACATACCTTAGGACATGTGTATTAACAGTAAATTATTGGTATTGGATTATGCATAAGTGAATAATTCATTACAACTGTTTTTTGAAAATTAATTCTTAAATTGACTCTGGTGAACTCCAAAAATGAGTGATGAGGTCAGATTGTAATTCGGATGGATTATGATTTGGAAGTTTATTGTCATCAGCATATGCAATAACCTAAGAATTGATATCATTAAAAAGGCCATTGATGTGAGCTGAGAAAAATAGCTCACTTAAAAGTCAAACCTTCAGTATTTTACAAATTGGCAAAAAATTGAGGAATCCAAAATCTCCCAATACAATCTTGAACAAAGTCTTGAACAAAAAGTAATTATTTAACCAAGTATGCAAGACAAGATTGATATCAAAATATTCTCAAAGTAATTTCAGAGTCAAATGATTGTGAAATATCTAGGTAAACAACGTAAGTGGTTTTTGGTCTTCAAAGATATTTAAAATAGTAAATAAAGTATTTGAGTAGATTAGTACTTGTGGTGGAGTGTTGTAACCTGCAGTGTTGTGTTAGTGACAATTTGGATGCTATCATGTTATATATTTTTTGATAAATGTTTCTATTATTTTTAACATTGCAGGTAAGTGAGAAATTGGTCTATAAGAGTTTTGTCTTTCTTAGGTATAATCTTTATGGTAGATGACTGCCACTGATTAGGCTCATGGCCTCATTGAAGTACATAGAAAAAAGCTTAGATAAATTGGCAGCAGACGTAGGCTTAAGTTTTAAATAAAATATTGCAGGAATGTGATCTGGGCTATGTTTAGCTTACCAATAGCTGATATGATATCCAAGAAGGATATACTATAATTATAGGTGAACTCATAGAAAGAAAGAGACCAAATTCAGTGTCTGGTAATATCTGGAAATATCTAGCTTTGATGTTTTTATATACTTCATAAATCATATTGTTGGGGATAGGTTTAGATTTAGTGGTGGTTTTTTGGGAGAACATGGGGATAAATCCCCAAAAGGTATGTGGATCATAGGAAAAAGAAGACACTATCCTATTAAAACAAGTTTGAAAGGCATTCTGACATTCCTTATAAAACTGCTTTTGGAGAATTCTATGAATGTATATGTCACAAGGGTTACTGCTATGTTTCTACTTAGCCCACTGTTTTCTGATTATATTTCTCAACTTTTTTAATTGATTTGAGAACTGTCTATACAAGGGTATTTCTATCTTATGGTAATGAAGAAATTTATTGATAATCAGGTAAAAATGTTATAAATTTTATCTGTAATATGTTGTATAGGCATGGAGGGGGAATCTAAAAATGGATCAATCTATAGAACAAATAAATCTTGAGGCATGTTTATAATTAAATTGAGACTATAAAGGAATTCTTAAATTTTGTCAGGCTTGATCAGTTACTACACCATTACATAATTCCAAACCAATTGCTACATGATCAGACTAAACCCACGAATGGGTAAGCATTCACCTTTCAATTTACAGTAAAAGTGAGATCTAAGAAGGAGTTGTGTCATGTTGAAAAACGAATATTTTGGGCAAAATTAAAGAAATAGAATATTTTGTTAATAAAATAATTTCCTCAGAATTGGAGGAAGTAAAAGATGGCTCAATAGGGATCAAGCAATGTTGGATAAGTTGAAATCACCACATAAAATAACTTTATGATTACAATAATTGTCCAAACACAGGAGGTAACAATGCAAAACAGCAAATATCTTCTCTCTCTAGATTGATGTGGGGCATACAGTAGATGGAGATCAAGAGTATGTGATATGCTGGTATTTTTACTACCAGGATTGAATACAAATACTCAAAAATTTTGAGACCTTCATACATTCAAGAAAGATCATTAAAATCTCACCACCTCAATGGGATTCATAGGACTGGGAGAAATAAGAATATCCCAGCTGATCCAAAAAATTAAAAATATCATAAGATTGTTGTGTAAACCAACTTTCGGTTAAGACATATATGTTGTAGAAATTGTTTAAGATAGAAGGGAGATACAAACATTTATTTTTAATAGATCTTGCATTCTGTAAGAAAATCTTAATTAGACGAAAACATTTAAAATAAAGCACAAATTATATGAGAAGATATATAACTAATATCTATTTCTATTGCTCAGATTTGACTCGGATGATGTGAGAAAACAAAATCAGAATAACAATAAGTAATTAAGTAATATAAAAATAACGTATCTGGAAACAAAAAAAAAAGAAAAATACTGGATGAATGTTTACATTAACTCTTGCACTTGCACCATCCAAGTTATCAGAGCAAAATTGCTTGAGTATGTCAATCAATAATCATGAAGATGAATCAATAATAAACATTTTTATACATTTATTTTGGAGGTCAGAACCTGTCATTTTAAAACTGTGTATTTGGATGGAGAAATCCGATTTTTTTAATGCAAATTTCACGTATGAAGTTCTGCAGAATATATGCATTTCATAAAAAGCAAACTCACTGTAAGTTGTTACATAATGTTTTCCGAACAAAAGTAATAACATTTTATTTTTGATACCATCAAAATTTCAGACTGTATTAAATTTATACAGTTTGTGTTTTGTATGCAATAAAAGTTAATATTTTTTTATGTAGTAATATGAGTTAAGTTTAATGCTTATAATATTTTAATAAATATTTATTTGTTTTTTACAGGATATTCTCATATGTGGCCATTCTTTAGAATTAAATCTTATAAATGAAATAGATTTATATTTGAGTATCCAACAAATGGCATTATTTTGTGATATATTTGAAAATAATATTGGATTATTTTTACAAAGTCTAAATGAACTGGAAAATTTTAGTAAAAAACTGAAAAGAGAGAAACAAAATCAAAAATTTGAAGTGGTCATGGATAGTGGCATAGACAGTGAATGCTCGATATTACAGCCTGGTATCTATCAAATTCCATTTTTTCATTCAGGAATAGGAATTCTTCCAACGACAGAGATAAACCAAACACATGTCAATAAATTTGTTCCCTTTGAAATTCTCATAACGGCAGGATCCCTGTCAATTACCATGTTTGGTCATAAATCTGATGAGTTTTCTGCAGTGCCAATAAAACTTCATTCTGGTACAAAGCGAAGACTGCGTCGTCGTCATCATCAGACATCAGATGGTAAAGATGATGACATCACAGTGATTAATTTCCAACAGAAAAAAATTAATCAGCAAAAGGAAGAAACTACATCCACTGATTCTAGTCCGCTCAAAAGTGTGGTTCCAAAATACACCAAAAGTGATATCTTTCTTTTTAACGAAGAAGAAGGTTATGATGGTTCACAAGATTCGAGTGAGAGTGATACAGATATTCAATCAAAAGATTATTTTAAACAACCTTCCAAGCTGTTTCCATTTTTATATATAACTATAATTCAACCTCATGCATTTATGACTTCTTATCCTTTGACTCAAAAATTAGAAGTTAGTTGCTTTGACGTTCAAGTAAAAGGAATGGCATCAGGACATTATATCCTAGGTTGGTACATTTATTAATTTTTTATGCATTTGTTTATTTATATAAATATCAAGACTATAATTCTGTTCTTGAACAGAATGTGTAGAGTCAAAAAAACTGAACTTTTAATATAACTTTTATTATAATAGTTAAGTATTTAAAGACCACATTCAAAATAAGCATCTTCTATGGCCATGCACTTTTGCTAGCATTTGTGACATTTGCCGAAGCAGCACTGGAAGCCATTTTTTTGTAATGTTTTTAATGGCCATGCTTGCTGTGGCTTCCATTATTTGTTCTTGGTTGGCAAATATCTGACCAAGGACATAACAATATAGTCTCACAATTTTGCTCTTACAGATGCATCTGCTACTTAATATAAAAAGGTTTTTAAAAAACAGCAAAGAGGAATCTACAGAACAAAACTCCTTAAAGATAATGCAAAAAATACCTGTATAGAAGCTGCCAAAATTATGTAGATGCAGAAGGTGCTTACTTTGAAGATAGTGTGGTGTAAGAATGTGTGTGTGTTGTATAATGAAATCTGTGCCAAAAGTTCAGTTTATTTGACTTACATAAAATGAAATAATGGCATACACAAACCCCTTTAAAATTTTAATATAACAGCATTACTGTAGCATAATATATATTGCAAATAAAGAAAAAAACCTGGCCTTTATATAAACCAACAACAACTTTTTCTGTTAGTGGGTATTTTTTGTTCAGTCATTATAGTGAGGAATAACAATATATCATAAGGATCCTACTGCAAATGATTTGTACTTTATGAGAAACTATAAGTATAATTTATAGTTTTTCGTAAGTCTTGACTCTTTATCCAAGATTAAGCTTATTAGACCAATGGTAAAAGATTTTTTAATAAAATAAAAATAATCATTACTTGCCCTATTGTTTTTATCATTCTTTAATGAAATGGGACCTAAATAGGGTATTGGGGGATATGCTATTCTTAGGTTTTTCTTATTAGAGAGAAAAGATTGCGGAAATAATTTATTCTTAACACGGTTCTGAAGAAATGTAAATTTAGAGCGTGAATAAGGTCTCCTAGAGTCATAGACTAACACATTAATCACTTGGCCATTTGGCCATTGTTATNTCTTAGGTTTTTCTTATTAGAGAGAAAAGATTGCGGAAATAATTTATTCTTAACACGGTTCTGAAGAAATGTAAATTTAGAGCGTGAATAACCAGCATTTAACATGGCATTATAAATGATACATAACTCATCTTCCACTAGTGACTGAGTGACTGAGTAGAAGGAAGAAGGTATGCCTTCCGTATTAGAGAAGAAATAGCAGAATTTTTGTAGTGTGATGGCTGGTAAGCAGTAGCAGGTACAACTTGCGGTGCTTTATTATTTCTATGATGTACAGTGAATGTAAGCTCCGGAGACATACATATGTCTAGATCCAGGAAGGAGATTCTATTGTTTTTTTTGCTCTTCAACGGTAAAATTAATTGAAGGATAAATGGAGGCTAACATTTGTGTGAATTGTTGTAAACTCTCATTGGAGCCATCCCACGCAATTAACACATCGTTGACATAATGTATATACATGAGAGGATACTGGATAGTTAAGGGGACATTAAAAACTCAATGTTCTATATTCCTCATAATCAGGAGATAGTGGGGAACCCATTGGTACACCTTGCATTTGTTTATTTATTTTCCCATGAAATTGGAAATAATTATTATGAGTGACAAGAAAAAGAGCTTCTCGCAAGTGTAGAACATGTGATATTGGATGACTAGAATTGAGGAATAGAGTATTTGCCAGCCTGATAGCCTCAAAATGCGGAACAGACGGAAATAGAGAAATAACATAATATATAAACAAATGCAAGGTGTACCAATGGGTTCCCCACTATCTCCTGTTTTAGCTGAACTGATTATGAGGAATATAGAACATCGAGCTTTTAATGCCCCCTTAACTATCCAGTATCCTCTCATGTATATACGTCGATGATGTGTTAATTGCGTGGGACGGCTCCAATGAGAGTTTACAACAATTCACGCAAATGTTAGCCTCCATTTAACCTTCAATTAATTTTACCGTTGAAGAGCAAAAAAACAATAGAATCTCCTTCCTGGATCTAGACATATGTATGTCTCCGGAGCTTACATTCACTGTACATCATAGAAATAAAAAAGCACTGCAAATCGTACCTGCTACTGCTTACCAGCCATCACACTACAAAAATTCTGCTATTTCTTCTCTAATACGGAAGGCATACCTTCTTCCTTCTACTCAGTCACTCAGTCACTAGTGGAAGATGAGTTATGTATCATTTATAATGCCATGTTAAATGCTGGTTATTCACGCTCTAAATTTACATTTCTTCAGAACCGTGTTAAGAATAAACTATTTCCGCAATCTTTTCTCTCTAATAAGAAAAACCTAAGAATAGCACATCCCCCAATACCCTATTTAGGTCCCATTTTGTTAAAAATTGCACATATGTTTAGAACTAACGGTTTTGTTCTACCACCACCAAGTCTAAGAAGACTACTCTGTTATCATTCTTATAAATTAGTTTCGATTTCTGGATCCTCTTCAGTGTAGTAGTACACTTAATACAACAATGTTTTAAACACTAGCATACAAGATGGCATAGTTTATGAATGGGAGAATGTGTAACTTTAAATGTTCAAAGATATTTAAAATATTGTCTTGTTAAGTGTACTGTTATACATAATAGGACAATTAATTCATATGTCTCTATGTCCTTATTTTCTACAGTTTGTTAAATGTTTGTCTGCGAGGACTAAGCTTATTAATAGGACATATTGCACTGGTGTTTTTGGTTTTTGCAACCAAGGAAAAAACTTATTCAGAGGAACAAACAATCTTTATTTTCATCTTGTATTATACCTGTATTATGTAACAAAAAAAAAAATAATAAGACAATATTTTAAATATTGCCCTTTTAAGTATAACAGTACAAAATCCAAATTTTAACATACTGTATGAACTCTTAGATAAGTGGTAAATCAGTTTTAAGGATAGTTAGCCTAAGCTTTTGCCTAAAACTTTGTATGCTTAGGACCTTGGATACATTAAATACATGCTTGTCGATATTTTATTTTAATCCAATGTTCAAAATTCGATTTTAGTTGCAATCATAAATTGTCTGCAGCAGGGGTGGGCAATTTGCAGCCTCGTGGCTCGCATTAATATTTTATGTGGCCCATGTTGCACAAAATATTAATAAATATATCAATTTCCCAACTTAAGGAAGTAAGCAGCAAAAATTCTATTGTTACTTTCAACAATTTACATATGTGAACAATTTCTTCTGCAATGAATTTACTAAAAAATGAAACAAGAAATCAGCTCATATCAAAAATATCTCAAAACTAACAGTGACTAATATTTAATCAAATGTTTGGATATATTATGTTTACATCAGTTCTAGAACTCATATTAAATTTACCTATGTAAATTTATTATCATATGTGAGAATGAGGTTTAAGCATCTAAGCTTAAACCGTTTTCCAACAACGGGAGGTGAGCCCCGCTCACAGGGTCAGTGGATGGCAATTTAGGAGGGCGAAAATCGAGTGGGAGGTCGCGGATAAGTCGATAAGGTGTTGACAGAGTACGAGTAAACACACATGTTTAAGTTAATATGTATATATAACATTACTACCAAAAACAGCAATATATTACCAACGTAGATAAATATAGTTGGCTTGATATTTGGCAGATACATATTANTCGCGGATAAGTCGATAAGGTGTTGACAGAGTACGAGTAAACACACATGTTTAAGTTAATATGTATATATATATATTTAATTAACAAATGCTATATAAAAAGGTTACAAATAATTAATAATAATACTAATTTCTAACCGAAGTTACAACAGGCGGTTACCTGTCTTACAACTTGCGTATTTTCGATGGAGGATATTCTCTGATCCTTATTACTATTTAATTTCAGAATTAGTCCTAGTCCACCTGAGAGAAGAGAGAGAGAGTTCTATTTACTAAGTAGTAGATAGTAGAAGTTAGCTTTGTCGTCCGTCGTCGGCGGTCAGCGTTGAAGGCAGTTAATCCGTTGCTTCTTGCTATCTTGGAGGCCACCCAGATAACTGGCTGGGAGCCCTCTTTATACCAAATTTGAGGGGTGTGAGAACTATGATATTATTGATGATTTATATGCACACCTGTTAGTGTGTTGATGTTTGGATCTAGCTAGTACAGACAACTGACTCAGAGAAGTTTGTTTAATTTATTGCTATTGGTGTCTAGAAGATATGATTTTATAATATAAATTTCTATAGGTTTAACGGCTCTCATCCATAAATTAACATTCAGCTGACAATAATTTCTTTAACCTGGTCAACTATCTAGATATTGTTTATATCAAACGTCGCGTTTGACTACGAACGAGGCGATTTATTGCCGTAACCACGTGTTACGTGCAACCAAAGAGGTGATAAGAAACATCTCTTATTCCCGTCTTGTTGATATTAATGTCTATAGAATTACCTTTAAACAAATGGAGGAGATTTCGTTTATTGATATTTTAACATTCCCCTTTTTTTTTCTTATTTGAGGAGAGCATTTCGGTCATTGACCGCAGAGGTTCTCCTTTTTCTCTTTTCAGAGAAAATTCAGGATTTATACTGTTTTAAAACAAAAAAAAGGGTTTCAGACCTTCACATATATATGAATAAATAATTGTGATTTACTCACAGTTTTTTTTTCATGTCTGTTTGAAAGTTTTAAGTGTTGCCTTTATGTAGAAAAAGGTTGCCCATCCCTAGTCTATATATTGTGTATCATGTGATATTGTCTTTATATCATGTAAACATATTTTAAAGATAGTTATGCATTGGCATACAGATACAAACTGCCAGTTTGTCCTCTTTTGTTGACCATTTGACTGGTTCTTTAGCAATTGAAAATATTTCAACTTTCCAAAATTTTCAGTTCATTTGACCAATTAAATTCATTGAAATTGCATTGAAGTTGCATTTGAAACTTTTTCAACCAATTACATTCTAACTCAATTTGTGTAATGTAGTACTGTGAAAGTTTGCACAAAATTAAAATTACCACAAAGGCAGACAGGATACAGTAAAAATAATAGATGATATATTTTTACAATTAAACAATTTCGCGTATATATACAGATTCTTCATTTGGGAATTCCAACGTCACGCTACATTAAAATTGTATGCAAATTTACCACTAGGACAATAGTTCGTTAGATCAAAATGTGCGGTACCGATCCCGATCGCGATAATATGAAGCCCGACCTTAAAACTAATCTTATACACTAACTTAACAATAATGGAAGAAAAGGATAGAAACAAGAGGACAAAGGAAGAATATATATAATAGAAACAGAAATACCTGGGATTTTGTTGGCATATTTGCACTATGTGTGCTATTGGGTGGGATACCACACGATAATCTTCAAAAATTTGACTCGTCTTTTTATTCTATACTTAAGTTTTTTTTTCACTCTCGTTGATTCTCCCTTAAAACAGGAACCCTTCTCTTAACGTACTTCCGAGATCTCCGGTCGTTGCTAACGCGACTCGGAGCATTCTCTCTTCACATCTGTACACTTCTCAGTTCCGCAAGAGAATGCCTTGTCCCTTGTTTGTTTGTCCTCAGGGTCCTGCTCACTTCTTTGTTCCTCCCTTTCTCAGAACTAGTCATCCCACCCAAGGGACAGGGGTTAAGATAAGAAAGTTCTAGAAGGAAATAGAACAATAGGACAAAGGGTAGAAAGAAGAGACTAAACTAAACTTAAATTAATATGTACAAAAATGTAGCGTACAGCTACAGTACAATGCAAACATTTCACTTTAATGTTTGTCTCATTCATTGATGGTGCTCTTATGACAGTTTGAACGTAGTTTAAAAGTAGCCTACAAACTTATTTGCCTAGAGTCACATAACCTAAAACCCCACTGACCTTAATTTTCATAAATTCATATAATGAAATATGATTTTGTGCATGGTTTTAATCTTCCTAAACTTGACAAAAATTAATTTTTCATTCAACGTAATGAACCTAAAAATTTCAGAAATTTTCAATAGACTTTATAGTTTCAAACAAATGTGTGACATACTCAGATTAAGATTGAATTTTCAGAATAATTTTTAATACATAATTATTATATACTAAAATGCTCTTTATACACTAATATTTAAATAATTAGTTATAAATTTTTTTCCCAATATGTTTGCAGAGTCAGAGAACAGTCTAATTCCAACACCTGATGTTTTCACTGTACCATGGTTAGAAACGAAACCAGGAGAAGCAAATGCTAAAACCGGAATACCTCCATCGCTGTATACTTTAACCTGTAAAGATTTCTTACATCAACCAGGTATTTTTTATGTTAAAATTTTACTTGATTGTTTATGATTTTCATAATCAATGGCAAGAATGTTTGGGTGCAAGGAAGTTTATATTTTGTAACTTTATAAGTTAAATGTATGAAGAGTGCTCACATAGTTACAAAGATGTGTAAATTTTTTGCTGTTTCACAGAACAATTTTGTTGTGGATCGTGTGGAATATGGATACTTTCCTCTTCCAACCACTCCACACAAAGGGTGGGTGGACTTCCATCACCACAAAATGCTTTTAGCCTTGACTCTGAAAAAGAATTATCTGACCCATGATCAAAACAGTTGTAGGCTTTTTGCTTGATATGTTTGTGGCTCTGGTTGGCCATAGTATCAATAATAGTTCGAGTAAGCCATTGTAGTTCTGACATCATGTATTTGTCACAGCAATAAAATTAATATAATTACTATAATGCATACATATCAAACCAATACAATTTAATTATGGTTTAGGCATGGAGTATGCACAGTTCATGCAAGTTAACATCAGTTAATTCAATAGATTTATATTAAAACTTAAGAGAGACATTTCAATAGCTTACATTTTATAGTTTATAAAATATAGAAGGGATAAGTTTGTAGCTAAGTTTAAGAATTATAAATTAATTGATTTAATTTTATTTTATTTTTTAAAATATTTAGCTATGATACATATGTGTTTTGAAAGACCCATAAAATGCAATGTAAGTCCATCAAAATATCATCAAGTTTCTTCGTTTATTAATTCAATAAAGAAATACGTCTTTAAGAAACAAAATTTAGAAGTTAAAATGGAAAAGGAAGAAAATACGGAAAATAATGATGAAACAGATACAGGGGCAAATATTAAAAAATTTCGAGAATTTATCAGTCACCTTAAATCCTTTGAAATTTCTACTGTACAAACTGTTTTTGTTATTGATTTGGGACAAAAATCTCAAGATCTTCAGCTCACATTATCAATTGAAAATATACATGGAATATTAGATAAAGTTCCAAGTATGTGAATTTGATTTTATTTTTTTTAAATATAATTTTTGATAAAATAATTTCATAATCAAACTGTCAATACATTTGCAGAAACACAGACAGAGATCTTCAAAATAGAGTTTATAAGTCTTCTATTAAAAACTGCTTATAATGGGCATACCTGTCCTCTCATAGGCCCATTTACAACAAAACTCCAGCTAACAACAATATGGAAAATTTGGCATCTTTGTTCGCCTCTGCCACAGCTTTTGTTACATCTTCAAGGAGATGCAGTTGTTTTGACATTTGGACCTAAACAATTAGAGAGCCTTCTAGCTTTACAGAATGTCTTGCAACAATTCATTGTAAGTATTCGACAATACATTGTAAGTATTCGGATTAAAATATTAAACAACAAGTTAAGATAGAAATATACTACACAAACAGAAAAAAAGCACTTCATGACAAAAAAGCAGATTATTTACAACTGAAAGAGAACCAAAAACAGAGTTTAATACTGTTCAACTTCTCAGTTTCTGCACACAACACAAGTCAGTCAGAGAGATCCTTCGTGAACATCATTGAAATGTTACTACGAACATTATTCAAACAATGTGGTGGAAAATGGGACAGTGTTTCTGGATTGTGCCCGATGGCTGCATATATTTTTTTCAGGCATCTGATGTATCACTTTTCTGTTTCCTTTTCCTGAGCAGCAACATATTAGATTATCAAATAAAATATATAATGTTATCTAGAAACATAAAACTACACTGGTGTAGTGCATGTGACTATAAAAGAACATATATATATATATATATGTTCTTTTATAATTTGCTTTTGTTTTTTTTCCTCTGTTATTATGTATTGCATTTTTATTATTGTACAGTGTGTCGTGTGATCTCTTCCTTTTTCTATCCTGGTTCACCTTTTCTGGGGTGCAATGTTTGGAGCCATCTTATTGGTCCAGTGCACTGTCACATGCAAGTGACCTGTTTCTGGAGAGCAGAAACTATAAAAGGAGGAACTTTTGGAAAAAGTAGGACTTTTTTTGTGGTCTTCTCCCCTTCTGGATAGCGCAAGAAATAGAACAAGTGAGGAACGAGTTAAGATGATGTTTGTGAACACCATGGAGAGAAAGGGAACATTTTCACGAAATAAGACAATCGGTTTTGATCGGATTGGGCAAGTGAGGTATCAGAAAGAAGCAAACCTCGAACGAATGGATTTTAACCAAAGTCTTCATCAAGACAATTAGTTTGGAGCCATTGAGTTTTTTTTCTGTTTTCTTACTGGTGCTCATTGTCATGTTAGATAACAATGGGTTATTGTAGTCTCTCGAGAATAACCATGTGGAATAACTTTGAAGAGAAGAAAGAATGTATGTATAAACTTAATGTATAGGTTTGTAAGTCTTGTAGTTTGTAAGATGCAAATTAATTGTGTTGCGAATTGAATTGTGTCAATTGTATCAAGAGGCCTGCGTGACAAATGTGTAGTGTAATCCTACCTGGTGTGATAAAGGAATAAATATCCTTTGTTTTTGGTTACGTGCACGTAGTGTTGGTCAATTATTGAGTCCGTATCACCTTACTATCTTCAGACACTCCAGCAGAATTTGATCTACTGGCGACATTTACACTGGTGTGCAAAACTTAAGCTACAATTATTTTTTTGCCATACTCCACAAGAAATCGCCTGGGAGACATGAAATTCAGAATACAGAGACAGTATTTTGTACTTAAAGGATGAAGAAAATATACTAGTGCAAAAATGAATAGAATGCATACAGTATGGAATCAAACAAAACAGGCTTCATTGAAAGAGTAGCATTGGTACAAATGATTGTCTGCCCAAGAGCCCAAGAGGGAGAACAACAAACAGATGTCCCTTAGTAAGGGATATGACTTTCCTTAACTGCAATGGTTGCTTGGCACTTATCAAACAATCAGATTATCAAACAGTTGTTGAGGTAAGAGTGCCCATTCCTCAATGAGCATCTGTTTCAGTTGTTGGGTGTACTCCAGCAGATATAATCATGCCGAAAGGTGACTCCCCAAAGCATCCCACACATGTTTAAATCAGGGGTATATGCTGGTAAATCCATTCTAGTGATATATTCACTTTCTAGAAGCTCCTGAGTAGCATGAGTTTGATGTGTCATGGAATTATCATCCATAAAAATGAAGTCTGCATCAATGGCACCTCAGAACAGATTCATGTGGGGAAGGATTGTTGACAATAGTGATCTTCGGTAACAGTAATTCCGTCAAAAATTTGGAGCATAGTCTGCCTGTTTATCATAATCCCCCTCCAAATGAGCACATCAGGACCATCATAATGGTCTCTTTTTTCATGATGTTAGTGGATAAAACCATGTTCCTACTTCTCTCCATATCTACTGGCATTGAGAATCACTTATGATACTGAAACGACTCTCTCCTGTAAGGAAGATGTGACTCCACTGATGAGATGTCTACAAGTATTAGCAGGATGTACTCCATTATACCTGAAGGTTAAAATGCTAACATGGACATGGACATTCAACAATATACAGATTACAAAAGAAGGCCTCAACAATCTTACGAAGTATGCGGATATCGGTTGCCTCCCTAATCTGGATTATAATTTTTTACAGACCTTTGTCAATAATGGAATAATCAAAGAGAAATCTAAATACGTTCACCCAACAAATAACTACAAGGCTGACATCACTGATATTAATGCAGAACCATACCCTACTAACTTTATCTTTACGGATGGTTCCAAAAACAACAGAAATGTAGGAGCATCTTTTATTCATTTTAAACATGGCAATGCAAACTTCAAACATGAAGCCGGCTTTAAACTAGCCAGCTATTGCTCTGTTCCTGATGCCGAATTGTACGCTATATTTCAAGCTATCTCTTACATTTACACATTGAAAGACTACAAAGGACATCTACGTATATGTACGGATAGCCAAACCTCACTTCGTCGTATCAACAGTGACTATTTTGATTGCGATATGATAAATAACATCCGGAATAAGTTGAAGAATATACACAACTATAAAATCAGCTTCGCTTGGGTTAAAGGCCACAGCGGGGTGCAGGGAAATGAAGAAGCAGATAGACTAGCGAAAAAGCATGCTAATGAGAATGGTGAGATCATCTATACTGCTCTTACCAAGAAAAACATCAAGGATCTGATTCAACAAACTGCCCTTCAGCTGTGGCAAGTGGATTGGGAAAATGGTGATACAGGAAGAATCACCTTTAAATTTTTCTCATGTATTCAACAGCGCCTTGCCATGAAACATTTGAATATTGGTTACATCATGACACAGACATTCACCGGACATGGGAATCTGAAGCACTACCTTCATCGATTCGGTCTTTCCGACGAAGAAACATGCAGTTGTGATGGTGCATCGGTCCAAGATGTTGATCACTTGATCTTCTACTGCAGCAACTATAACAGAGAAAGAAACTCTTTAATTCAACAAATATTGCAATTGGCCATGCGAACTACACCATCTTGTAACTGAAAAAAAACTCTTTCATGAACTTCAAACTTTTATTAAGAAGACTAAAGCGCTTGAGACGAACTTTAAAAGAACACATTAGTGTTCTTGTCTCTACACCCTATATCGATCTACATGGTTCAGTTGCCCCTACATTTGTTTCTAATTATTTTGTACTAGACGGCGAAAAGCCGTATTTGTTATAACCTTTTCGATATGTAGTTTAAGTTAATTTATTGTAATACTTTACTTTCGGTGATAACTGTAAGATTCAGATTTCATCAATTTATAATTTATGTTTTTTGATGGCGAGGAGCCATATTTGATTAATACATTAATTAATGTTGTCTAATTACTATTGTATTTTCAATTAGTAAATTTGATCATTCTATGTGTAATCATTTTTCCTTAAAATATTTTGTTAAAAGTTTATTTATCGTCTGTATTCTGACAGGCAAGAACTGTATTTGTTCAAAATATTGATTTGATTTATGTTTTTCTGTATTTTTGGTTAAAATTGTTTTCAAACTATGTGTAATCAAACTCTCTTCAATTGTACATACTGTAAATATTGCAATTATTGTCTGTATCTGATGGCCAGGAGCCGTATCTGTATGTTTCATTTGATTCTTAATAAAACAGGCTGGGCATTCATGAAACTTTCCCTTTTCATCCCTTTCCTATCTCGCTTTACTCTTTCCCCTTCGCCTCTTCCCTTAACTACCTTTCCTCTACTCTTCTTCACACTCGGGCAATACCAATGAGTAGTCCCGAGTCTTCATCCCCTTTATGAAAATGAAAAAATGATGAGATGTCTAGTCTTTGCGGTCCTTACACCAGTCTAAAGGTGCTGCTGATCGGCAGCTGTCAATGGGATGCCACATTCAGGAGGCAGACAAATAGGCCACATTTATGAAGGTGCCTGGCCACATTAAACAGTGACACTTTTTGTCCCATTGCTGAATGCAGCTGCTGAGCAATGTTTCCTGATGATTGATATCTATATTTTTAGCCTGCAGGATGATATATCAGTCATCCATTGGCATTGTTTTTCTTGAAAACCACCACCAACCTTTCTTACAGTTGTACTGTACCTATGGTTTGGAAGACTTTCTAAGCTCATGAAATGATACTTTTGTTGATTTCAAACTCTTGGGCTACACACATCACACTATGCCCCCTTAAGATTACCGGTCATTCTACCACATGTAAAGTCATCCAGATGATTTCTTCTAGTCATATTGCATGTACAAACTCACTTGAACTTGCAGCAAATGTCTTTAATTGCACGTCCTTATTTTTATCGTAGTCTTGCACTGTGTGCACTGACTGCACATGTTTTTCGTGCCTCGTCACCTGTGATGTCTTCTTCCTGATATTTGCATATGAATCACCTTTCTACTGAACTGGGTGTTCATTATACTGATCAGAAAAAGCCCTTTTCCACAATTTCATGGCTGTCTGTTTAAAAATTACATTGTTGCTTAAGTTTTACATGCCAGTGTATAAAACAAATGTGACTAATAGCATAGATATAGCAATGATTCTTATAATTGTTGAGTTTTATCATATAATTCAAGATGTTTTCTTACATCATCTATAAATATTTCTAATTTGGTTGTGTTAGATCGTGTCCTGTTTTCTGTCATATTCTTTGAATAATAAAATGGTTCCTGGTGATATTTTGATAACATTCACAAATTATTGCTCTGATTGGCTTGTGTCATGTGCAGAAATAGAGAAGATGGATATTGTTGAACTCTGTTTTTGGTTCTCTTTTGGCTGTAAACAATTTGCTTTTTCTGCATTTTTTTACTTGGAAACATCTAGTGTGACTTTACCTTTAGCCTTTGTATTATT